CTACTATAGTTATTTATGGTGTAAACACGGTGTGTGTCGTCAACTCGGTACCCGACGATTGTCCGCGTCGCATGCAGGTGTAAGTTTTTAAAAAAAATAATACGTTAAAAGAATTACATGAAAAAAATCACATCGCAATACTTAAAAGAACTCTCACGGATCAGACAAGGTGTACACATACCTATTGAATTATATTCTTCAGTAACATCAAACAACCTCACGCACTAAATGCCCCTTTTTATTTGCAGAAAAGCATTTCTTTTGTTACGTTGTTATTTTCAGGAGCCTATTTCTTTGGACTTTTTCTCTGCGGGTTAAGCTTTTACGTATTCGCTTACTTCCTGAGCTATTTATTCAACGAGAAGACTACTGGGGTGCTTCTTTTGACACTCGTCATTATATTTGGTGGGTTTATTTTTAAATATATTATGTTTTAGTTTTTTTTTTAATTTTGTTTGTTAATTAGTAAGTAAGTTAATTAAGAAGTAGTTGTAGTTAATGTAGACGCAAAAAATTATTTTGAGTTTCATGTTCACCTGGGCTGATTATTTGTATATGAAATGTTGTTAGTTACTTAAGTCAAAGTTTTTTCTTCTTCATCAGCTAGTATTAGTGCATTGATAGCCATGGCTCTATTATTACTATTATTATAGACATGACGAGATTTAACGACATCTCAATTGAGTAGCGTTTGAATATTAGGCCATATATTACGGTAGAGAGGTTTTACCATAATCGCAACACTTGGCAGGCGTAGTTTACCTTACGACGGGCTGTTTTCTGCAACTCAGCGTCTAAGCGCGTATTTTGCGTGTGGGCAGGAATAATGTGATTATTCGAGCCATAAAATCTCATCGAAGAAGTTCAACAGTCCTTTGATGTTGCAAGCAACATCGGGGAGCGATCCCGGCGAGCTGAAATGTTTAGCCCTGTATGCAGCGATCTCCGGACATGTCATCAACACGTGGGCCGCCGTTTCTTCCTCCCCCATACATGCCCTGCGCAGGGGACTATCTGTAACACTATGGTAAATAAATGTTTGTTAAAGGTGCCGTGTCCTGTGATAGCACTTGTTACTATCCTGATCTGCGGCTTGTTCAGTATCATTAGAACCTATGTTAGACGTCGTTTATTTCAGGCAGGGCCTCCCTAGCTTGTTTACAGTCTACTGGATTTTTGCAAAGCTGAGCGTGTAGGTTAGTGAAGTTTCTACGTACCAGAGAACGAATGTTACCAAAGTGGATGGTATTATTGGTTCCGACCATATCGTGGCCAGAGCCAATGCTCTTCTGGCCAGTTCGTCTGCCGCACCGTTGCCTCTGGATCCACTGTGTCCCTTAGTCCATTGCAGTCACAGTAGTCACATTGTTGTGCTTACATACGCCATTTAATCGTTTATGGCATTCTTATATTAGTCCCGAGTTTACCACATTATAATTCATAACTTGTAGAACCGCCATACTATCGGTCAGTATTCTGATGGAGAAGTTTTTTACTTTACTAGCATCTATTGCTATGACCGCTTGGTTGATACCCATACATTCTGCCTGAAAGACTGTGTTATGGGTACACAGCGGTGTATATATATGTGGATATTAAGGTCTTTAGAGAAAGTTCCAGATCCTACACCCTCATTTGTTTTAGAACCGTCCGTAACAACTCCTTTTGCCAATCACTCACCAACTCATCGTTCGCCAATCGTGATTCTGCATTGCCAGAAAGTTATACTAGCTTTGTTGATTTTGTTTTCTATGTGTTTATTCCAGTTGAGTTTGCTGTCCAAGGTAAGACCTAAATATTTTACCTCAGAGGATAGCTGGAGTTTTGTGCTGAAAAGACTTGGAAGATGATAGTTATTCAGCATTCGTTTTTGTGTGAACATTACTAAAACCGTTTTATTTAGATTAACAGTTAGGACATACCTACTGTGTTGAATTAGCTAACCTAACAACATTTTATAGTGTCCATATCAATGTTAAAAAATCTTTTATGTTTTAAATATATAGATTGACTTGGCCATCGCATGAAAACACAATGTATCTCACAATTAATACATATTATATTAAATTAGATTTCTTAGTGCGATTGCCAAGTCAATCTATATATTTAAAACATAAAAGATTTTTAACATTGATATGGTCACTATAAAATGTTGTTAGGTTAGCTAATTACGTAATAACTTAAAACAGAAGGACCCTTAAGTAGGGACTGAATAAATTAACCGACTTGGTATTACATGGATCTCACAACTTGTTACGGTAGTAGAACTGAGTTGCGAGACTTGGTTTTTTTACAAGTTATGTTTTTGATTGCATTTTTCTCATTTCTTTTTGTAGATAAGATAATCCTACTTTTTAAACTTTCCAGTACCTTCTACTTCTTTAATACCAACAACGTAGCTATCTACACCTATTATATATATACAAGTACACTGATTCATTCGCTGCAAATGTTACTTTGTAATTCTATATATTTATATGATATTACAAAGTTATTTATGCAGTTTGTGTATCTAGAAAACTGGGCCAAAATTAACAAATATTTTAGTTTTTCCTTGATTTTATACACTAAACCCTAATCGTATTCTAAATTTGAAGCTTCATTGTCTGCTAAAAGTGCCTTAGAGTTTTGGTGATCGGTCAGTCAGTTAGTGACAAAATTAAGAAACTTTGATTGGTTATAATTCTTAAACTACTGGTTCAAACTGAATGAAATATACTATGTTTATACAATGCCTACTTGGTTACTGAAAATTCAGGCTTCTAGTTTTATCCACTACGAAGTTATAGGGGTCAAAAATGGCCTGAATTGCTTCGAGAAAAGTATGGTACGGCCGTGCCGCTTTTTTGCTCGACTTGGCGGGGCAGAACTAACACTAACTAAGGCCTTACTTCTTTCGTTGGATTTTTCCATTCCCCAATAGGAATGATGAGCAATGGAGTCCGTCCCAATCACAATCTCTAGTCCGGCCCTCTCGCAGAAATTCACCAGCATTTTTAATAATAAATAATTTATTACTTTGCAACCTTCCGCTAACCAATTACAATGATGTGTCTTACCTGGATTGAAGAGCACCTCCCGCCCCCCCCCCTCAATTGCATGCACTAACTCCGTCACCACTACTCCCAACACCACTACTCCCAACACCACTACTCTCAACACCACTGCTACCGGCACCACTACTTCCAACACCACTTTTCCAGGTAAGACACACCATCGACGACAATACTTAATGGATTTCCGCAAAGTAACGCCTTATTCTATCAATTACCAGCATTTTTACTTTTACTGGACCCTTTTTATTGGAAACAAGGCATTCCGTCTTAGTCCTCACGGGTGTCCTCACGGTCACATTTTGATTTGTAATCGAGGATAGATGTAGATGTCTATGGGCCGCAGCAACCACTTATCATCAGGTGGACTGTGTGATCGTTTGTCACCCTATCCAATAAAAAAAGCCTGACGAGGTCATGAGGGGAAGGAGTGTCTTCCTCTGACAGGTAGAGCGAGGCGATGACTAATCTTTCCTCCTATGTGTTTTGTATAGCTACGGTATACATGTCTCTCAAACAGAAATTCGTTAATGATTTTGCACAGATATTTTTAGTATAGTGGCCGTCCGTTGTACCCGCAACCACTTGCGCAATTGAGCCGACGCATTTTCACTGTGGTGGAGGTTGGGCTGCACTAGGCTTGTTCTGAACAAAGGGTACGATATCATTGATTGCGATTTTCCCGTCCCCGCCCAAAAATAAGCCTGCCAGCAGATCTCGGATTGTTTGGGTATACAGATGGCTAGTGAAAACACTAGAGGATCTGATATATTTGCTTAAAATTTATTATTTTTTTTCTCTATCTTTGTTCATCGACAGCCACCGATTCGGAATCGGATGGTAAAATGCAGTCCTCACTGAGTAACGAAGAGGATTGTATTTTACCGTCTCCACTGGGGGCTTCGGCTCGGTTATGAAGGCTCTTCTTACTGGACTTGGCATCCAGTGATTACCGATAACCATGGCCCCGGTATCCATGACTTCCGGGGTCTTACCTGCCTCTTTGGTTGGTGTAGTATCAAAGAATTTGCCTCCACGGCCCTGGAATTTTACGTATACTGCCACACATACACATGCGAGACGGCGTCCGGCTTTCATCAGGGTCGGGATTTGAATATGATCCTCTGGCACCGAAATAACGAGGAACCACCCGTCCGCCTGTTTGTCAGCAGGCGTATCTTTTATCCAATTGATCATAGGTCTGGGTATTTTCTATTTCTTCTACTTCTTCATCGTCACTCATTGACTTGAGCCTTCCCGTTGTTGTCCTACCAGGACTTGCCTTATGAAATCGCGTGTCAGGCGAATTATTTTATACTTTTCGTTCAACGTTAACTGTCATTACATCCTATCAAATGTTCACTGCTGTATATTGGTCTCCCCATTTAGATTGCCTCGTACATTGATTTTGCCACAGTTGCCACGATTGGTAGGTGCGTTGGCAAAGATTTTTTATTATTTTGGGTTGTTATCAGAAAGATGTTGTTTTTATAATACCACACTAACGGAGAGAGATCATGCTCATGACCAACGGTTTTACGAGGCTAACACACCGCTAACTTCCTCGAATTTCTTGATATCAAAATCTAATAATTGATTTTCATGACCTGGCATTCGAACTCGGTCACCCGCTATCACTAGATAAGCGACGCAGTTTAAATTTTAAGAGTATCGGATACTTCAACTGCCCTTTTTAATTTTGTTTAATTTTTTAGGTTTATTTACTCCACTGGTGACGTTTGGATTGAGAACACTCGGTGTTATTCCCCATAAAACGCCTATTACCATCAAGATTTTAAACGATATCGGTGTGCTTTTTCCGGCCCACATGTTCACGCAGACAATCAAGAAGATGACAGACGTTTCACGTTTCAACGCTTACTGCTCTCATTTGTATAAATCTTGCCCAACCCATAGCGTTTTACGAACTAATTTCGATACAAAGATATGCTGCGGTAAGTTGTCCTCTTTTACACCTCAGAGACGATTTGCTTTTTTTCTTTCAATATATTGCAGTAAATTTATGATCTAATACTTCCACCTGAATATAAAAAATACTGAAATAATCCCCACTTTAAGAGACAAAAGCTCTTGGCAAGGGAGATCAAATGATCAAGGGTTAGGGAGAAAAGATAAGAAGCCAGCGGACGATGCGAGTGCTATCGAAGAGGTATCGAAGACCACTACTTTTTGTATTAGAGCCCGGAACAGTCGCTTCTGACGATACGAGAGGCCAACCCAAGGGATTATCCCATTAGCAAACACAGCTACCGGAATAATTTATTGCTAAAGAACAACCCAAATGTCACGGTCAACACGTGAGTCAGGTCCAGATACTTTGTATTCTTGTTTGTTTCGGCATTTACGAAATTCTCATCAAATAAAATGGTAATGTCAACCAAAATATTCTGACTGTGCCCGATCCACCAACACAATATCAGGCTTATTCGCAGAAATAGTCCTGACAGTGATGATGGCTTGGTCACAATAAAGCCAGGTGTGGCCATTTATAAGCATGTTTTCTGGCGATTATGAAACTCTGAAACTGCATTTTGGGAAAGGCGGTTTTTGATCCTTGAGACCGTATTTCAGAGCGAGCTTCTCTGGTATAGGATACTAGTCTCTAGACTGAGTTAGTATTTGTAGAAATACTCACAATTAAAACACCGAACAATCCGAGATGACAAGATCGACAAATTTTTATTTTCATTATTAAGGCTAAAGACTTTCGCACCATTTAGTTCACTACTGAATGATGGTAAAATCCGCTGTCATGCAGTTTATATTAATAATTTAATTGGTGTCGGCAGCGAATGATGATGAACATGATTTGAATCATCTTAAAATTTGGGTTATTTGCCTCCCAGTAAATGAAAAAACAACTGACCTCCATTGGAGGTCAGTTGTTTTTTGCTTTACCGCGAAGTCATTAAAAATTTGTATCTATAAATTGGTAAAAATTTAATCACTATTGTACCTGCTTTTGTCATTGAAGTAATGTAATTTACTACGTACTAGAACTGACACCGCGAGCAAAATCTGTGTGGCAAGGCAGCGACTATAGTTGGAGGCACAGAGTACCTCTATGTGGCACAGAGTAGTTTGAGCTTGCGGGATCTAACACGAGTTGTAAATGACCGAGTCTCGGAATCCCTTCTCTACGTAATACTATACTACTTGAATGGTTTTTTAAGTATAACTATGAAATATTTTATCCAGACAGATCTCGGGAGTACGGTGCATGGGTCAGCCACTACGAAATGTCCGAGTACGGCATGGGCAAATCGCTTTTGGGTGTCACAGCTCATATAATCGTCTTTACTGTAAGTATAATAAATATAATAATTTTATTGATAAAAGACACTAAAACTCAATATATTAGAATCGGCTGAAAATGTAAATGATGAGTGCTGCCTAGTTTGGAGGGCACGTCTCGCCCTTCTTTTTTAGGCGAATATATCGCGAAAAGATGTTTGAGTATTTAACGACTATCACTCTCGGTGTTGGCTATGCGCAGGGATTGGTAAGGCGTGGTCACAATAAACCAGGCCAGGAAAAAGTGTAATGCAAAAACTTTGGGAATAAGGTATAATAAACAATATTTATGATTTTTATAGTTGTTTAAATATTTTATAAAATAAGAGCAACCAACGCTGTTTCGGTAAAAAATGGCCACCAGGCCCTGTATGTCCTGGTCTAACGGCACCAGGCTTAAACCATTCCCAAAGTTACAATCCTGATCGGTGACCATTGCATGAATGGATTACTTCAGAAGACTAGGATGTAGTACAAACATTTTGGCAAGAGCTCTGACTGGACTTTGGTCTTTAAAAAAAACAATTACGGATGTAAAGATTTTGCTCCTTAGCGGAAGCAACATCTTTACACATTCTAACTGAATTCATTTATTTATTCTATAAAACCCAATCAAAAAAGTAAATATCCGGGGACCCTGTATATCGTATATAATATAAAATATATACCGTTAAAAGATTTCTATAGTGGATTTATTTTGTTTAAATACGAATAAATGAATATCATATTGTAATAATATAATAACTATTTTAACCCTAAGCAAGTAACAGATTATCAAAACATTCTACGCTACAATATTCGTAATTAAAAGTAGTCACAGCTATTCTTCTGATTTTTTGAAATTGTTACTGGCATCATTTAAAAGTTAATGAAAGCTGACTTCTATCGCAAAATGCCGTCCGCTAAAATTTGCCGGCCGGAGCTATTGCAGGCCTCCCGTTTTCTTTTTTGCTACGCCACTATTCTTCACAACATCACAGGGCGACATAAATAGCTGGAGCTCAGCGCTAAGTAGTATGTCGACACCATACAGCACCAGCTGAGCCCTTTCCGTTTTCTGTTTCTGTTACTGAGACAAAATATATAATAATGTAAATTGCTTTTAGAGTCTAGTACTCCTGCTTGAATATCGACTAATACGTCGTTTATGGAGTGAGGTGGAAAAACGGCGTACACTTGTACTACCCACAAGGAAGTATGAAAACTCAGATGTTGCTGAAGAAAAGCAGTACGTCAGTAACACAATCGCAAGATGTTAGTACATAGTATATAAGTTTTACAGAGACGCTCGGACACAAACTTGAGAAAATTAATAGTATTAACTTTGTCCTCTCAATACATTTACGAAGATGTAATGTAGGTATATAAAAATACAAGTAGTTTTACAAAAACAAGTATTATTAATTCTGTAAATACTAGGAACAGACACAAGCTAGTAGTACAACACGTACGAATTAACTTGAGACCCCGCTGGAATGCGACCCCGTTCCCGACTCCCCGCACCGTGTCCCGCGCTGACCGTGCGCGCTCAGTACCGATAGCATTTTTGTTACGGATACGCGTCTCGACTCTAGTTCGATATTTTTGATAATTGTTTGTTGTTTGGTTTGGACTTTTGTTTGTTTTTGTTATACTTGAACGTTATTTTATCTGTTTGTTGTTAATTGCGTTGTTTTATTGTTAAGTTTGGACGTTGTGTTGTGCCGTTTTCTTGTGACGCTTAGGAGTTACTCCGCCTTTTTTATTTTTAAAAAAAAGATGGGAGGAAAGACAATACATAGCCAAGCACGGACACTTGCTCTAAAAGTTTTAAAATTTTTCGAAGATGAAAAATCAAATAAAAAGTTTCTTATTCCTGTGGACCAAGCTTTAAAGAGGGCTTGTGCAGCAACAGGCATATCAAAGGCAACACTACTAAGAATGAAAAACGAGGCGAAAAAAGTTCAGTCAATTTCTCAAGACCAAAATGATGATGAACCTTATCGAATATATATGGAACTTAATAAAACAAAGGGTGGCAGCTAAAAATGTTAACCAGTTTGAAAGGGAAATAGAGGGTTTGACAAGAGACGCAATACAGTCTATAACGGCTTCCGATTGGAAGAAAGAAATTAACCATATCGAAAGATTAGAAAATGAATACTGGGAGAGTAATAGACTTGAAGAAATCCAACAGAGTGAATTAATTATATCCCTCGGAGGGGAAGAATCCAGCTCAGAGAGTGAAAGTGAGGACGATCTAATGGACGGAATAGAACCGATCGTATACAGTGACAATGAATAATAAATATTATAATAAATCCTTATTAATATTCCTTACTTCTATTCCTTGATTTTACATAGTTTGTGCTGTTCCGCTTATCCAAGATTGATTCACTTTCACCCTAAGGTTGCCTGGGAGAGATTGCTTTTTAGCAATAAGGTCGCCTGTTATGCTTTGTATTTTTATTGTGTACGAATCTGTAACACTTTTTATAGTGCAATAAAGTGTATAATAAATAAATTAATAATATTATAAATGAGAAAGTGTGTATGTTTATTTCTTTGTCCTTCCTTGATGCGTTAACTAAAAATAATATTATATATATTATAAAAAATAAAAATTTAAAATGTATAAAAATGGCAACAGTATATTACTTATTAATTTACCCCTTGCCAGAACATTTTATTTTGTTTTTATTAATAATCTCATGCAAATCTCAAAAATTTCAAATAAAAAAATTTTACGACGCATTATTTTGCACATCGTACATTGACAATTACGTCATCGGCCCAGGTCTCAAGTTAATTCGTACGAGTTATACCAATTACTCGACTCCACCGAGTCAGTAATTCATTTTTGGAGCGATGTTTACTGCTGTTTTTTTTCTGATGTTTCTCAGAGTTTTTTCCGAACTAGTGGTAAATTAAAAGAAAGTGTCTTCAATAGGTATTACTTGTAATTAAAATTAAATAAAAAAGTTTCTGTTTCTGTTTCTATTATGGCGTCATATTATAGTTTAAAAAATACCATTGCTAATATGGAAACCGGGAGTGGTTAAAAGAATTATTTATTTTATGGTTTATAGCATTGTTAATACTCTTTTTAATAAAAAAAAATTATTAGGACAAGCTTAAAATGCGTGTGTTAGGTTAGGAGTGTTTCACCACAGTACGCGAATGACACATTCGTAACCACGACCTATTGAGTAGAGTAGATTTGATATAGAAGTGTTCGGTTCGGTACATAATGTATAGTGTTTCGCGTAGTGTATATATTCTTTGATAGTGTGCTATGTACTATGTAGGAAATATCAAGGTTGACTCTACTACAGGGCAAACGGATATTTTAACCGAACTCGAAATCTTCCAAATTCCAAAGTATTTATAAAAGAATTTAATAATTTCATGTATGATAAGCCTAACTTTAACTATACATTTTTCTTGTTTAATAGCTAAGGAAACCATAAAAGAGATAATGCTCGTAAGCCGAACCTGGAAGGCATATTTCAAACTATTTGAAGAACCAACTTTTGCTTTAAAGGATGTCAACTATTCTGTAAAGAAAGGTAATTAACAAAAAAGAAATGTGCATTTTTTAAACTTTTTAAGTCATTACTTGATTATTGTTCCATCTTCCAGTAAGGGGTGTTGTGGAAATAGACTGTAAACCGCACGGTCTATTTACCCTCTAGTTCAACCTTTAATTATTTTACTTTGCCGTCAATTTAATTTTTTTTCAGCCGTCAAGAATTAGTGCACCTGTACAGCAGACGTGCTCCAGTTTAAAGCCCGGTTTACATTTTGAGAAGTGACAAGTGCGAGTGACAATGACAAATGACAAATGAGAAGTGACAAGTGCGTATTTTATTCCCACTTATCACTTGGCACTGCTTGTTCACACGAACTAAGCACTTGTCATTTGTCAGTTGCACTTGCCACTTGCACTTGTCACTTCGCAAAATGTAAACCGGGCTTTAGATATATCGTTTTACTTCTCCGTTGTCACCCAATGTGTGATCTTTTTCGTTTGAAGTTGTTTGTCATGTGTCTTTGTTAAAGAGAGTAGTTTTTGAGTTATCCATAATAATGCGTTTTTAAATGACTTCAACTAAATTGATGATGTCCTCATTTTATTTATATTGAAGTCAGTTGTACAATTTTTTTAATTTTACAACTTGTTTATTTTAGATTTATTATGCTTTATATTTACGTGGTAGAGATTATGGTTGTACCACGCTCCCCCAGGAAACCAACGTAAAATAGCAGCTTAATGCTGTGTTTCGTATGGTGAGTGTAAATAAACGGAGACCCGTTTTACTGGGATCGAGGCATTCCATCTTAGTCCTCAGGGGTGACAACGCATCCGTATTTTGATTCTTAATCGAATTTAGATGTCTATATGGGCCACAGCATACACTTACCATCAGGTGGACTGTATGCTCGTTTGTCAACCTTATTCTATAAAAAAATATAAATGACATATAAACTATTATTAGATTTAAAAAAATGTAAATGGAATTAGTACATATCTCATTACCTATTTAGATTATATGTACCACTTTTCAGTGCATACTTACCGCGGTGTGAGTGTTCCATGCCGGATGTGCAGTTCACGAATCGCTCGGTTCACAAAGTACTCCTCTCCCTGGACATCCACAAGTCACGTGAGTCTGACGGAATCCCCCCAATTGTGCTGAGGACGTGTGCTCCAGAGTTGGCACCGGTTCTAACGGGTCTTTTCCGGTACTGCTACTCCCTAGTCGTAGTCCCAAAATCATGGAAGGCGGCTCCCGTCCACCCAATGCCTAAAAAAAGCGACCGCTCAGATTCGACAAATTACAGGCCTATCACGCCATCACCTGCTTGTTCTCCAAAATAATGAAATCCATTACAAACTGCCAACTCATGCGGTACCTTGAGGATCACCAGTGACCACCAATACGGTTTTCATCGGGGTCGATCAGCTGGTGATCTTATGGTCTACCTAACTCATAAATGGGCAGTGGCAGTAGAGTCCAAGGCCGTTAATTTGAACGTTGCGAAGGCCTTCGATCGGGTTTAGCGCAAAGTGCTTCTTTCGAAGCTCCCTTCCTATGGGCTTCCCGAGAAATTGTGCGATTGGATCACCAGCTTTCTTGCAGATCGGAGCATCAAGGTCGTTGTAGACGGTGCAAGCTCCGATTGCAAGCCTATTAATGCAGGTGTTCCACAGGGCTGCGTGCTATCGTCAACGCTGTTTCTTCTGCATATCAATGATATGTTGCAAACCGGTAACATTCATTGCTATGTGGATGAGAACACTGTTGATGCTCAGTACACCGGTCGTGCCAATATTTCTCGGGAAAACGTCTCCGTGTACCGGGAGAAACTTGTGTCTGAAGTCGAGTCTTTGCTGAACAAAGTCTCGGATTGAAGGCGACTAAATCTAGTCCAGTTTAATCCTCAGAAGACACAAGTTTGCGCGTTTACCTCTAAAAAGAACCCCTGTCGTATCTCCTCAGTTTCAAGACACCCCCTTTGTTGCATCAGCCAGTAACGGAATCCTTAGCGACAACATATTGAGTGACGTGCAGTTTCATGGTCACTTGGAAGATAAGGCCGAATTGGCCTCTAAAAAGCTTGGCGTGCTCAGCAGAGCGGGGCAGTATAAGACACCGCCTGCAACTTTACATGGCGCAGGTTCGGCCGCACATGGAATACTGTTGCCATCTCTGGGCTAGGACTCCCCAGTGCCAGCTTCTTCCACTTAGCATCGCATCCAGCGCAGAGTGGCTCGAACCGTCGACGACCGAGTGCTTTCCGATCGGTTCGATTCCCTGGCGCTCCGAAGAGATGTTGCATCTCTTTGCATTTTCTTTCACATCTACCATGGGAAGTGTTCTGAGGAATTGTTCAGATTAATCCCAGTCGCCAAATTTCATGAATGTCCTATGCGGCAAAACTCCCGATACCATCTGGATGTTTGGCGGTCTACCACTGTATGTTTCACTGTGTGTTTTCTGCCGCGGTAGACCTCTCTGTGGAATAGCTTTACCACCGGCGATTTTTCCGAATCGATAAGACTTAGGGACCTTCAAGAAAAGAGCTTAATCCTTTCTAAATGACCGGCAACGCACCTGCAATTCCCCTGGTGTTGCAGTTGTTCATGGGTGGCGGTAGTCACTTAACATCAGGTGAGCCGTATGCTCGTTTGCTCCCTCTTCTATAAAAACTTATATATCGTGAAACACTCCTTATACCAAACCCTGCTGCGTTTTCTCGCTGAATGGCTACTTTACATCTTTAGCCTTTATTATTTACTTTATATATCTAACTTTTTATGTCTTTATTCATTAATTACTTAATTTTTCTTTATTCTATCAAAATTCTTCAAAAAAGCGAGCTTAGTACTATTTAACATTACCTAACAGATGGTCTTGGATAGGACAGAAAGTGAGTTCTTTAAGTGATCTCATTATTTAAACTGTAGTCGGGTAAAGTGCCACTTTTTTGTCACCACCTCGGCTGCAATTTCTTCAGGAACATTGTCGCATAAATGCCACAGTAAATTTTTCTGTGTAGCAAATGACGCAAATGCAAATCCGTCTTATAACGACTCATGTTTACTCGTCTGCTGAATCGTTTTTTACCGACTTCAAAAAGGACGAGGTATTTCAATTCGACTGTGTGTTTTATTGGGTATGTGTGGTAGGGTGAACTCATTTTGATGATTCTTTTTTATCTGAAAGCCGGTGCTACTCGCGTGGTCCCATATAAATCAAGATCCGACCGATAGTTTTTGATTTATCTTTAATAATGCGTATTTAATTGAATTCTGTGAATTGTGAGTACATTGATTCGGTCGTATTGAAGCCGATTGTACAATTTTTTTTAAATTTTACCACTTTGTTAATGCAGGAGATTGCTTCGGTATTATTGGATTAAACGGTGCCGGGAAGACGACTAATTTCAAAGTGATCACTCGCCAAGAGTATCCTACAAGAGGAACTATTTATGCTAATGGATATTTTGCTGATGCTAATCCCGCTGAGGTACTTTTAATCAGAGATCGATGTAAACACGTTCCCAATCCATATCAAAGCTGTTTGATCTTTTATTTTTTGCATATTTCATACTTCTTGCAGTATCTTAGTGGATTGGGTTACTGTCCCCAAACTTTTGGATTGGACAACTTTCGAACTGGCGAGGCCAATCTACGCACTCTTATGTCCATGCGAGGTCTCTCAAAGGAAGATATCAAGAATGAAACTCGCTCATGGCTGAGTATAATCGGTGAGATTATTCTTTTTTATTTCTAACTACCTGCGGCTAAGAATTTTGATAGCGCGGGAAATAAGCGCTCGCAATCGAATTTCGGAGTACATCACACGTGTATGAATCTGTTATCATTTTCATTTCTGTAAATTATATGCTACTGTAATATTAACTTAATAAATGACAGAAAAGGGTTATTTTTGCCGCTTTTTCTGTAGTCAGAGTAACCTAATTTCAAAACGGCAGTAGATTTGAAACAAACGACATTTGAATAATGAAATATCATAATAATAAAATATTCCCTTACGTCGAAGAAAAATATTTTGTTTCATTTAATTTCTTATGATCACGCTATTATGACAAATAACGTAAGGCTGAGTCCACATTTGATCACTTAGGTTTTATCCTATCAACGTCGTGTAAAGCAGACATGTACTATGATCACTCGTTTAGAGGAACATGTGATATACTGTTGTGATCCCGTATATGATACGATTCGCTTCGTATAAAACCTCGTATTTGATATACATCTTGTGTCACATAAACGTGTCGTGAACGGCAGTACAGACTTATTTTAATACTGTATCACGATACAATGATGCGATACGATACCTGATACACTCTGTCTCTTCTCTACTAATTTTTACCACGATATCGTTTTATCACGTAAACAAATCACTTGCCACTAAATCTTAATATATATAAATGACGTGTCACGTTGTTTGTCCGCGACGGACTCCTAAACTGCTTAACTGATTTTAATTAAATTTGCACACCGTGTGCAGTTTGGTTCAACTTGAGGGATAGGATAGTTTTTTGCCCATGTGTGACCCACAATTTTTTTTTGCGAATTTAAGGATTTTAATAGGACATGACAAAGGGTCGCCGAAAAAGGCAGAACAACGTTTGCCTGGCAAGCTAGTTGTAGTATAATTTTATGAACACTCTCTTGTCGAAACCTATGTTGAAAAAAAATATATTCCCTTCTATTGTAAAACCAAAACACACTGTACTCAAAATCAAACTAACTTAATATCTCCCTCTATATTCCATCATCGGATCACCAGACGCTCTAGCTGGTCTCTACCCCTTTGTTGCCAGCATACCATGCGTTTGAACCAAACAGTTTGCTTCGTCGTTCATAATGCGTACAGCAAAGGAGTGGAATAATCTGCCGACATCTGTTTTTTCACGCGATTATAATCTGGTGTCTTCAAGGGAGTGCGCTTTACTATCTTCGGCTCATCACCATTTTACCATCAGGTAAAATAGTAGTCAAGCTTTGGCTTATATTAGTAAAAAGAACTCAATAGTAGCCGTGCCCGTTCGTTGAGAATGCGAAAAATGCCAAAGGTATTTCAGCATAAAAATAAATGTTACCGTGTAATGTGTACCTCCTACCTCCTACCTCCTACCTACTACCTGCTACCTCCTACCTCCTTCCTCCTACCTCTAACCTCCTACCTCCGACCTCCTACCTCTACATATCTCCTACCTCCTACCTCCTATCTCATATCTCCTACCTCCTACCTCCTACTTTTGAGGGGTTTACAAAAAAATAACCACGAAGGGAATGGAGAAATCTATTCGCTCGCTTCGTTCGCTCACTCGACCCCGCCATCCCCTTCTATCCTAACCTGTCCGAGTCGGGGTGCCCTAAGTCCCAAGCTCGCTTCGCTCGCTCTTGCACTCTACAAAACACCAATATAATGGTTTCTTATTTTTACGCGAACACTACACATGATTAAAACAACTTTTACGGATTTTATCGCGTTTATTTTTACTTTTAATCACTTTTATTTTTAATTCCCGACGTTTCGGGCGCTTTCCAGCACCCATGGTCACGGGGGACTGAGATGACTGACGTCCCGATGTCATTGTTAAACCCGGAGTACATTCAGCTTTTTTAATTATTGTTTATGGTCCGATCTATGCAAAATGAACTGACTATGTCCTGAGGTCTTGCAGTGGTATGCTTGGGTTTAGTTTTAATTTTATTGATTATAGGATCCCAAGCAGGTGGTAGTACCCAACCTCCTTCTCTATTGAAATTAGGATGTTTTTTAATTTCAATAGCCTCACGTATCATCCTTGGTAGGAATCGGTGTTTTTTCGCGAGGATTTGCGGTCTATCAAATCTGATGTAATGGTTGGGACCGTCTACCGTGCTACGGACCGTGCTCTCTGTAACAAACGAGGGATCTGTGACAGCAAACACCTGGCCGCCGAGCTTCAGCACGTCAAGCAGGTTCTGCACGGCAACAAGCTTCGGGTCCCGCGCCTCCGTCACATCCGGTCCGTCCACGGTCGAGCGTGTGCCTGCTGTACTACCAAATGTCAGAGGTACCACAGATAAGATTGGCTACACTTTGAAGCGAGCTTCTATTAGAACATTCTACAAGCCGCCGAAGAAGATTAGTCAGTTCCTACCATCCGTCAAGTGTCATATTCCTCTACAAGATGCAGGAGTGTACAAGCTTGATTGTGAATCTGGTCTCTCTTATATAGGACAAACAAAAAGATTAATTAGAACCCGCGTAAAAGAACATATAACTGATGTGAAGCATCAACGTTCCGGGAAGTCTGCAGTTAGTGATCATATCCTAGACGGTCCCAACCATTACATCAGATTTGATAGACCACAAATCCTCGCGAAAGAACACCGATTCCTACCAAGGATGATACGTGGGGCTATTGAAATTAAAAAACATCCTAATTTCAATAGAGAAGGAGGTTGGGTACTAACACCTACTTGGGATCCTATAATCAATAAAATTAAAACTAAACCCAAGCATACCACTGCAAGACCTCAGGACATAGTCAATTCATTTTGCATAGATCGGACCATAAACAATAATTTAAAAAGCTGAATGTACTCCGGGTTTAACTATGACATTGGGACGTCAGTCATCTCAGTCCCCCGTGACCATGGGTGCTGGAAAGCGCCCGAAACGGGAATTAAAAATAAAAGTGATTAAAAGTAAAAATAAACGCGATAAAATCCGTAAAAGTAGTTCTAATCAAAACACCAATATATTAGCTTTTATAATTACTTTAAATTATAAACATAATATATAATACAATAATAAGCACACTACGGTTCGCACAGGTGCCGGCGATTTGCTACGACAGGCTGCTGTCCTTCCGCGCCTACGGCTTTACAAAAACACTATAGCAGTAGGGCAGACTAGACTACGTGGATTCGGGGCGTGCTGATTTAATTTTAGTACAGATTCGATCATATCAGATATCTGTAGTCAGGTTGCCTTTGCTCCCGCCCCAGCTACAAAATTCTGTATGGTATCCAGCTCTCACAATGATATCGTATAATTTTTTTCTCGGTAGGGCTAGCACCCAGAGCCGTAAAGTCAGTTAATAATAAAAAAGTATAATTTTCCGTACTTTACGCATTTAACTGGCCGTGTGTGGAGTCTATAAGAGCGCTATACTGGGCGTGTGTGGAGTCTATAAGAGCGTTGTACTGGGCGTGTGTGGAGTCTATAAGAGCGCTGTACTGGGCGTGTGTGGAGTCTATAAGAGCGCTGTACTGGGCGTGTGTGGAGTCTATAAGAGCGCTGTACTGGGCGTGTGTGGAGTCTATAAGAGCGCTGTACTGGGCGTGTGTGCAGGGCTTGTGCAGAGCGCGGGGCGCCGCGCAGCGGACTACAGCGGCGGCATGACGCGGCGGCTGGCGGTGGGCGCGGCGCTCAGCGGCGGCGTGCGCGTGGCACTGCTGGACGAACCCACGGCGGGCGTGGACACGGCCGCCAAGCGTCAAGTGTGGCTTGCGGTCAAGCGGGCCCTCGAAAGCGGCCGTTGCGTGGTGCTCTCCTCACATAAGTACACAGTTTTGTCGCAATCAAAGATTTCTATGTTTTCTACTGGTACACTTTTGTCTCAATCGAAGACTTCTATTAATACTACTGGACCGGAAATTTAGAAGATAAACTGTGTAATAGCTGTGGACCGCGCGGGCAAGTGGCTGGCACGATTAATATGCCATGTAATTGTTTGTGCAGTTAACGTTCTAAATTACGACAAATATGAAGCATATTTGTCGTAATTTCAAACGTAAACTTAAAGTAATTAAGTTTTAATTTAAAGTATTATTTTTTAAGTATTTAATGTATTATTAAAGATCAAATTTTTCATTAGGCTTTTTGATTCCTTAGATGGCTTGGTATGCGGTAAGGGGTTAAAATTCATAGCCTCCGTGTGTCTGTCAAAAAATAAATAAAAAATATCATCGTAAATACAACATTTATGGGGGACGGGTGGGTGTATGAATCATTCGTTCTTCTTCGAAAACAGGCAAAAGTAGTGGGAATTGTATGTCATAAAGAGACTATTAATGGAGTAGAAAATACATTAATTACATTAAAAATACATTAATTCTTTCAAAAATATTAGTTAGTTTACTATTAGTTATATATTACAATGACAAAAAAAAATTAAAGGACAAGACGTTTTGCTAAATATTTTGAAACTAATTTTCGAGACATTAATGATAACAGGACCTAAAACAATATACACGCAATCTAATGACCTTCTCACTATAATTAATATCATACTAATTAATTAATGACTGTGTATAATCTATTAATGCTGGTGTTCCACAGGGCTGCGTGCTATCGCCAACGCTGTTTCTTCTGCATATCAATGATATGTTGCGAACATTCATTGCTATGCAGATGACAGCACTGGTGATGCTCTTTACACCGGCCGAGCCAACATTTCTCGGGAAAACGTCTCCGAGTGCCGGGACAAACTTGTGTCTGAAGTCGAGTCTTTGCTGAATAGAGTCTCGGATCGGGGACGACTAAATCTAGTCCAGTTTAACCCCCAGAAGACACAAGTTTGCGCGTTAACCGCTAATAAGAACCCCTTTGTCGTATCCCCTCAGTTTCAAGGCACTCCCCTTGTTGCCTCAGCCAGTATCAGAATCGTCGGCGTCGACATATTGAGTGACGTGCAGTTTCGTGGTCACTTGAAAGGGAAGGCCAAATTGGCCTCTAAAAAGCTTGGCGTGCTCAGCAGAGCGGGGCAGTATTTCATGCCGGCGCACCGCCTGCAACTTTACAAGGCGCAGGTTCGGCCGCACATGGAATACTGTTTCCATCTCTGGGCTGGGGCTCCCCAGTACCAGCTCCTTCCACTTGACCGCATCCAGCACAGAGCGGCTCGAATCGTCGACGACCGAGTGTTTTCCGATCGGCTCGATTCACTGGCGCTGCGAAGAGATGTTGCATCTCTTTGCGTATTTTATCGCATCTATCACGGGGAGTGCTCTGAGGAATTGTTCGGACTAATCCCAGCCGCCAAATTTCGTGAACGCACTACGCGGCAAACGTCCCGATACCATCCACACCATCTGGATGCTTGGCGGTCTACCACTGTACGTTTCACAAGGAGTTTTCTTCCACGTACAACTTCTCTGTGGAATAGTTTACCACCGGCGATTTTTCCGGACCGATACGACCTAGGGTTACCTTCAAAAAAGAGCTTACTCCTTTCTAAAGGGCCGGCAACGCACCCGCAATTCCCCTGGTGTTGCGGTTGATCATGGGCGGCGGTAGTCACTTAACATCAGGTGAGCCCCCTGATGCTCGTTTGCCCCCTCTTCTATAAAAAAAATCAGTGTAGATTTACTACGTGCTCGGCGGTGAAGGAAAGCATCGTGATGAAACCTACATGTCTGAGAAATAAAAAAGAAATATTTCAAAGACATGTGATGTTCGCCAAAATGCATACAGGCTGCGCGGCAAACATTTCCTTGCCCTAAATCCCTCACTAAATGTGGAGGCCTGTGCCCAGCAGTAGCACGTATAGACTAACTTTAACTTTTTAATCAATCAACTGTATTGCAACATGTATAATGTAAGAGTGCGAGCCCAGATGAAATACCGTCGCTATGCACACTTCTAGATAGGTCTCTCAAAGAGGGCACTGTAACTACTATGTGAAAATTTGCTTTTATTACTCCCGCCTATTTTATGTGGTAGAGCCACGCTGCAGCTATATTATAGTTATAGCACAAATGGGTCGGCCCCACCGGGACAGAACTACGCTCTCACAGAATACCAGCGTAAATAGCAGCTTAATGCTGCTGTATTTCGTATGCTGAGTGTAGAGAACCGGTGACCCTTTTTACTGGAATCGAGGCATTCTATCTTAGTCCTTAGCGGTGACAATGCATTTGCATTTTAATTCTTAATTGAAGATAAATGTGGATGTCTATGGGCCACAGCATCCACTTACCTCTCGGATTGGGGGCAACTAAATCTAGTCCAGTTTAACCCTCAGAAGACACAAGTTTGCGCGTTAACTGCTAAAAAGAACCCCTTTGTCGTATCTCCTCAGTTTAGATAGATAGATAGATAAAACGTTTGTTTGTATCTCCAATCACACACGTAAATTCAGTGATTAACTAGATATACAATCAAAGTATTATGGAAAAAAATACATAAACATATGATCTAAATATACATGTGTGTTGCAGTTAAACAAATGGGTCATATATGCTCATGTTCAGTGATTAATATTGCTCAGAGAGCAAACATTGACTTTCAGCTGTTACCCTCGAGGTGGCGAGAAGAAAATGAGCACAATAGTACAGTCAGAAAGAAATAAGGAAAAAAACTAATTTTTTTTGCACGTTAATATTATTGTAGTGTAATTATGTCTGAAAGATGTGTCCTTTCAACTCTATAATTTATATCTTGGGTTTAATTTAGTAAAAAATTACGGAAAAGATTTGTTAGACTGCATACCCAATTAAGCCTAGTACCCAAATGACTTAGCCAACCATGATGAGTTAGTAAAAGAAAAAGAAAAACAGAAAATAACATGCCATGGTTTATAGCGAACAAACGAAGTTTCAAGGCACTCTCCTTGTTGCCTCAGCCAGTATTGGAATCCTCGGCGTCGACATATCGAGTGACGTGCAGTTTCGTGGTCACTTGTAAGAGAAGGCCAAATTGGGCCTCTAAAAAGCTTGGCGTGCTCAGCAGAGCGGGACAGTATTTCATGCCGGCATACCGCCTGCAACTTTACAAGGCGCAGGTTCGGCCGCACATGGAATACTGTTCCCATCTCTGGGCTGGGGCTCCCTAGTACCAGCTCCTTCCAATTGACCGCATCCAGCACAGAGCGGCTCGAATCGTCGACGACCGAGTGTTTTCCGATCGGCTCGATTCACTGGCGCTGCGAAGAGATGTTGCATCTCTTTGCGTATTTTATCGCATCTATCACGGGGAGTGCTCTGAGGAATTGTTCGGACTAATCACAGCCGCCAAATTTCGTGAACGCACTACGCGGCAAACGTCCCGATACCATCCACACCATCTGGATGCTTGGCGGTCTACCACTGCACGTTTCACAAGGAGTTTTCTTCCACGTACAACTTCTCTGTGGAATAGTTTACCACCGGCGATTTTTCCGGACCGATACGACCTGGGGACCATCAAGAAAAGAGCTTACTTCTTTCTAAAGGGCCGGCAACGCACTTGGAATTCCCTTGGTGTTGCGGTTGTTCATGGGTCGTTTGCCCCCTCTTCTATAAATAAAAAAATGTGTGCTTGTTTGTCATCCAATGCTATACGATACAGCATATATTACCTAAGACAGCCAACGGGACAGTTGATTCGCATGAACTTTTGAAACACTTAAAACTCGCTACATAGCACAAATTCCATAAGTAAGCTTAGATTGTACGTTCCATTGGTATGTATATGGCTAACGAAAAAATGCTTACCTTGTTCGTTCAATGAGTGATAACAGCGAAGCGAATATACATTTTGTAATAATACTTCAAAGCGAATTGTGGCGACATAGTTTTTTAATTGTCACAAATATACATTGTTATGTACATTTGTAACAATTAAAAAACTTAACTATATAAGTCTTATTCATACTAGATTAAGTTAAAAGATTGCTAAAGAATTGTTGCTGGGCTTTAGCGCAAACTTTGTTGGCGTGCGACTCTACTTTTATTTTCTAATATATCTATATCTATCGTATATACGAAATAGTTACGTATATTGTGATTATTATTGAGTTGATTTCTAACAAAGCAAACCTGATAAAGCAAATTTATGTTGCATAAGTGAATGGAAGAGTCAGAAAGGGACGTCCTAGGCGAAAGTTTATCGACCAAATTGGATATATTGAAAATGGGGCAAATTAGGAGTACCCTTAACCGACGAGCATGTATGCGTAGGTATATGAATGTGGAGGAGGCGAGAGAGGTGTGTCAGGATCGTGCCTAATGGAAGTCTGTAGTCTCTGCCTACCCCTCTGGGTGACAGGCGTGAGTGTTTATATATATATATATATATATATATATATATATATATATATAAGTAGATTTCTATAAAAATGTATAAAAACAATTAATTGTATATAACTGTAAGTTGTTCTAAAACAAAAAAAATACTAATCTAAAATAAACTTCTTGAAATAAGCTTAACAGCATTTTCTTAGTCACATTTAACAAAATCAGCGTTAGATAAACCTTCGCGGTTTACAAAACAAATAAATAGTCTCCTCGCCTCCTCGCAGTCAGTTAAAAGAGTTACGGAGAATTCACCGTAACTTATTGTGCAACGTACCTATTAAAACCGCAGAGTCCGTCTGGTAGTATACAATGGAAGTCTATGGTCTATATAGTCTTTGGTCTCAATTTGAATTAACTAAAACTATAGTAACATTAGAAGAATAAAATTTGTAAGTGATTTTTGAGTTTACTTTATTTATAATAAAATTGTTATTTTATTAATTATTATAAAAAATGTCTTGTTTTAATTTTTTTTAATAGGACATGATTGACAAACGAGCACACAGTCCACATGATGGTAAGTGGTTCCTGTGGCCCATAGATATCTACATCTATCCTCGGTTACGAATCAAAATGCAGATGCGTTGTCACCCGTGAGGACTAAGATGGAATGCCTCGTTTCCAGTAAAAAGGGTCTCTGGTTCTCTACACTCACAATGCGAAACACAGCAGCATTAAACTACTATTTGATGCTGGTATTCTGTGAAAGTGTGGTCCTTCCCCGGTCGAGCCGACCCATTCGTACTACAACTATACGTACTACTAATAAGACCGCAGCATGGCTCTATCACGTATAATTGGTGTGCATTGCCTTACGAAGACTTTTAGCTCACACTTTTAGCACGCTTGACAGACGTTTAGCTCTATCGACGATATTCTAGTACTACTAGTTCCATTTATCGTAACGCTATTTATTAGATCATGACATTTATCTGTCATTTCCCACAGTCACCTCATAAACACTAAGCTGATGAAAAAACCGCTATTATATGATTATCAAGAAAAATGATTATAAAAATATTATAAAATATTCTTAGACAATTTTAATTGCAGCATGGATGAAGTAGAACGCCTGTGCAATCGTGTGACGGTTCTGGACGCCGGCGAGATGGGGGCGCTGGGCTCTCCCACCAGATACAAGGAATTGTACGCACTAGGACATACCGTCATTTTTAAATTACGAGTTAATTCTGTTCTAAGCCGTGAGTATATTTCGGTTTCCAAGTTTAACTGATAATTGTAGAATATTTTACAAGTGACGATGGAATATTTTATATACTTGCCTTAAATTTATATATATATATATATATATATATATATATATATATATATATATATATACATACTATGACCTTTTTTACCGTCTGGAAAAAAGAGGGTGTAACATGTAAACGAAGTAAAAGCCTATGGTACTGATATTGTACGAAAAATAAGAACCCAAGCAGAGATATTTTTTATTTACTATGCTTTCTGCATCGATACTTCGCTTATAGGTACGAGGTAGCCCTTTTTCCCTATCGGTGGTCAGTTCTCTGGTTATACTGCAATATTCTGTTAATATAGACCTGCCTATGGATCACTGAGTGACCTTAGGTTCCCCATACGGCCATCAGTAATAGACACGTCTTAGATCCATATGTCATGACTGTTATTACGCACTGGTATGAGGAATGCATGTCTCCATAAGCATTCAAAAGTTAAGACGTCTATAAGCCATGCCCAACAGTAAAGATACAGCCATATAGGCTTATCGTATCTTTACTGTTGGGCATGGCTTATACGCCTTTTATATATACTGTAACGTGTTTAAGTCTATATACGTCCAGTACATCGATTGTAACTTTACTAACTTAAAAACATTTCCAGAGGTGGGAGCGATTAGGGTGCAGTCGCTTAAGGATTTTATGGACCACGAGTTTGACTGCTTCGTGAAGGATGAACATTTGGTAAAGTTTTCCCCTATTAATAAGTAAAAGTCGTGAAAAAGTAATTTAAAACGAAAGAATTTTGTTGCATGCTGACTTGACATTTTTAAACTGTCTCTCTAACTTTTCCCTTTTTACCTATTAATTTTGCTTTTAATATATTTTTACAAGCTCTAGATGGTAAATCGCACTATCTTAGCATAACAAAGGCCTGTTCACTTTTTTGCCTTGCTGACACTCAGATTTTATTCGGATGGAAACTATCGGTTGCACTCCTTTACTGAACGCATTACAAAAGACGAAGCAAACTGTTTAGTTTTAATGTGTGGAATATCAACAACAAAGTGGTAAAGACCCGCTGAACGTGAGAAGGAGAGGGAGGAATTGATGTAATTCCACGGCTTAGTAAAGATCCCACATATAGTAAATAGATGGCCTCGTATAATAGATATTAACATAGTTGCGACGCTTGGCAAATGACAACCGCAGTTTTTATATTATTTTGAACTGTCATCAAGAAGATCCTCTACCTCCGGTTCCAGTGCCTTGTCACTTCTTATGACTCATACGAGATGCGTTAATGTATTTTGATTCGCCGCTACTAGCGGTCTGGTTAATTATGGTCACTGGTATATTGGTAATAGTTTATTACTAGTCTAATGCTCATAGTGACCGCGTTTTATTACTTTATAGTGCACCCAACCAGTCAATCTTTCTCCCTTTCTATTTAATACTAGCGACTCGCCCTGGCTTCGTCTGAATGAAATCTATTGTTGTGGCGTTATTTAGGTTCAAGATCATTTATTTTCCGTTTTTAAGACAAGCACAATTAGGGTCGATACTAAAGATATTAATAATTACAGACCTGTTGCAATAGTACCCATTTTATAAAAAGTTTTTGAAAAAGCAATACTTAAGAGACTTAATAATTATATGGGAAAATTTTATATTATTTATAACGCATAAAATGGTTTTGTAAAAATAAGTCCACAACATTAGCAACCTCCCAACTCGTTAAGTTTATTACAAAATGCATTGATGACGGTGTACCGGTGGTAGTTCTTTTTTTGGATATAAGTAAAGCATTTGACTTTGTTAACCATGGAATACTTCTCAACAAACTCGAAAGATACGGAATACGTGGGAAAGCAAATGAATTGTTTAAAAGTTACCTTAAAAAAGTGCACATTCAGTCGCAATATCGGTTAAACAAATATGATGTACCACAAGGAAGTATTCTGGGTCCTATATTCTTCCTAATATATATTAATGATCTACCAACAAGAACTCTCTGATGATGCAACAATAATTCTTAAATGTACGAACAAAAAGCTTTTTGAATTTGATATCAATAGTACACTAAAAGATATAATTGATTGGTTAAATTCTAACAGTATGACTGTAAATATAGTTAAAAATTAATATAATGCAATTTCACACGACTAGAAAAAAGCTAGCATAATGAAAAAGTGCTACGAGAAGTTGATTATTATAAATTTCTTGGTATCACTATTGACAATAATTGTAATTGGAAAATGCATGTTCAATCGATATGTGACAAATTAAGCAGATTTGTATTTGCGCTTCGCCGACTTCGAGAAATAGCATCTGCCAAAGCAGTGTTACGAGCGTACTCGTAAATGCCTATCATGGCTACGTTTCATCGATATTGCAGTACGGACTTCTGATATGGGGCAACTGTTCTGAAATAGAATGCGTATTTAAAATCCAAAAAAAATGCATTCGAGCAATCTGTGGAGGACATTACATGACATCGTGCAAACCATTATTTAAAGAAATAAAAGTACTGCCACTCGCATGTATGTATATAAAACAAGCCGCGATTTTTGTCAAGCTATTCCCTGAATACTTCCCAAGTAATAATTTTTGAGAGATAGAAGTTTAAGAGAAAAATGTAATAACAGATTATACTTTCCAAAATGTAAATTGATGCCCTTCCAAAAAAATTCATACATAATGGCGATTAAAATCTTCAAGTCTTTACCCGAAGAGTTTAAAAATTTCCCAGTGACAAAGTTAAAAAACAAACTTCATGAATCGCTTTTACTTAATTGTTTCTGCTGTTAATGATTATCTTGATCACAAAAATCCAAAAAAAAATACATATTTAAATATCTGTATCTAAAAATGCTTGAATTTTTTGCTGTGAGTTTATTAAGGACTTTGATAGTAATTATAGAATAATTATTAGTTTGTTATTTTTACTGTTTTACACATGAACAATTATATTTTGACATTTGTAAACGATTGAGTGACATTGTTTTTAGTATAATTAATCTTTTGACATTTATTTATTATCAATTGAACATTTTATATTACACTAGATTTTTACCCGCGACTTCGCTCGCGTGGGCTTGAATTCAGAAACATCGATAATACTATTTCGTATTAAAATTAGCGAAACTGAATCACTTGTAGAGAGACGTCGGTATCTGTGTCTATAATGGAAATATTATAGGCTACATAAACACATAAGTTAGTTTATCAGAATTGCATAAGCATCATGCGTCAAGCAATACTTTTTTATATCGAGCACGTCTTCCGATGTGTCTTTATTTACAGAAAATTGTTCTGGAATCGAAAATGCGTTATTTATATAATAACTATTCATTATTAAAGTTGATATATAGTCTTGATAAAATAAGTTTTAATTTCATGGTCTTTATTAATATTGGTTCCATTGAATATTGATTAGCACCACATGCCAGTATTTTTTACGTTCGAGTAGACTTCAAAATTTCGTAAATGTAGTTCTATTCACGGAGAACGTGTGAGAGGAACTAAGTTCATGAACAGGAGTAGAAATCCACATAAGATGGGAAGCAGCGTCTTCTTGATCATAGCTTATAATAATAGAAATAGAAACTTTTTTATTCAATGTATGTAGATTATAAAAATACTTATTGAAAGTCACTTTTTTAATTTACCACTGGTTCGCAAAAAAACCTCTGTCCTGGGAAGAACCAGCAAGAAACCCAGCGGGTATTATAGTATATAATATTATGTTATACCTAGCGGTATAATATAAAAATTGCAGTTGACAACTCGCATGCCAAGCGTGGCAACTGTGGCAAATATCCAACTTTATGGCAGTTTGTTCAGGAATACCAATTGATGAACGGGAGTACAAATAATATATTAGCCATGTAGAGGCGGCGAAAAAGAAACCACTACCCCATTTCGTCCCGTGGGGTGTCTTAAGAGGCGCCAGAGGAAATTGAAACAGGAGATGGGCAACATCTTCTCGATAACAGCGCAAAGTAATAAAGAGCTGCGGTTGCCAACCTGCTTGCCAAGCGTGAATACTACTGCAAATACCCGGTCTATTTGACATAGGCAATGGGGGAAGCCTATGATCAGCAGTGAAAAGCCCCATTAAACGTAAAAAAGTAACAGCCTAAATACATCCCGGGCTTTAGGTCAAAAAGGAGTTGATTAAGTTGATTCCAATGCGGATTGACCGAATTCACATACCTATACCTAAAAATAATTTCCGAAATATTTTTAACATCTCAGATATGCAGGTTTCCTACGATGTTTTTCTTAACCACCGAGAACGTGGTAAATCGAAACTTCAAATTGCAGTTAAAATATTAGTGGACTCGGCACGGATATAATTTGAGTTACCTACGTACCAACTATGAAGTTTACATTACAAATTTATAGATTGTTTGCTTTCTTTGATATTTATAGTACTTTTTCACAAGAGCCTGTTAAATTACTCGTGTGAGCTATGTAACCGGGACTGTCGCAAAAATTTTAATAGTTATGTCTGAAAATATGGAAGCTATCTTAATATATTATGACAAACTGTTTTAAAAATTACGAAGTAAAAAAGGCTCCATCAACGGTATCACGAACTATTCCATCAATTATGAATATAAATCTCATAGTGGCAGAGGGTAGACACATAAAATATTCAACTATACTTTTTTATTTGTATAACATGAACATATTATTATATAACACATTACCCTTAAAAGAAAAAAAGGAGCCTCTTTCAAAAAAAAAAATAAAAAAAACTATTTTTTTGGAAATCGCGTTTTTTGGAAATTGTATTTAGATACAAATTACATACTGATTAAAAATGAATAATATTTTTCGATCTTACCGCCATAATAAAAAAAACTGAACTGGTTATTTAAATAAAAAAATCATGAGAGCAATTAATTTAATTTAATTATTTATGTTTTTAAAAAAAATACTAAAAGAGGGCTCGAAATAAAAAAGGAACGCGAACTTGAAAAAAAAAGGAAAAAAAGTCATTCCGATGATCTTTTTGACTTGAACTGAGGGTACCACGATATTGAGAACGACCGATATCGCATTTGAGCTGTTACTACCGTTAACGTAATGGCAAAATTTACCTTCGTATGCCAATGATATTGTAGCAGTTTTTATTGCCTGAAAACACAGATAAAACGACAGTTTCTAAAAACGATTCCTAGCTAAATCGATTTATTCGTTTAAGGGTATTAATATTATATAGATAAAGACTTTGTATTTGTATTTGCAACAATAGCATCTAGAAGTGGCAATGTCGTGTTTAGTTGTTAATATCACCAAACAATTTCTTTTCATTGATTTGGTCAAGCTTTATCATCATATAGTGAACAAACACCCCAAATTTTATGAAATACCGCCATTTCACTTTCAATAATCGACTTATTTATGATATTATAAATTCTAAGATATTATCAATACATATATAAAAATCTTTTATTGAAACTATAAGGATAATAATAATTTTGTACTAATCGCATTTTTTATCAGTTTATTTATAGATAAAAAAACTAAACACTAAAAGTTTTTATTGATTAAAAATTTAACTTAGAAACATCGTTTTTCGATAGATGTCACTATTATCTTTTTTAAAAGTAATTTTTTAGTATAAAATTTATTACTATCTACTAAAATGAAATAACAAAAACTAAAAATGTACATTAGAATTTTTAAATAAAAATAACTATATAAATGCAATATTATTTAATTTCTTAGTGTAGGCAAAATGTCATTACTTTTTGTATTTTACGTTAGATGGCACTGTTTTGAAAAAGTGAATGCAGTAATAATATTGTAGTTTGTCGGCGTAGTTCAATTTATTACACAACGGGTAAAATTAATGTTGGGCTTTATTTATAAATATTTTATTTATTTTCATATAACACATCAACAGTATAAAATAGAAATTAACATTTAAAGGAAGGAAAATACTTAACTCTCCTTTTTTGAAGTTCTGTAATCGGATAAAAAGTAGCCTATAAGTAGCTCCGGGTCCATAACTGCCTACACACAAAATTTCATGGACATCAGTAGTTTTTGCGTGAATCTTTAATACACAGACAGACAGACAGACAGACAAAAATTCTAAAAACCACTAAATATGGATTCAGTACCCTTTGTTTAGTCCCCTGGACTTGTTTTTTCTAGAGAATATTAAAATCACAGACACGACCTTTCTACAGATTTATTATAATATGTATAGATTAATAAGTTAAATTCATCAATAATTGAAAAAAAATTGTTATATCTATTTCGTCAAAATTTGCACGTTTTGATAAGGCAGAATGTATAGGAACTTTTATGTTTTAATAATACTCTTGTAAAATCTACCTACATTCTATGCAAATAAATAATTATGAATTATGAAAATAAGCTTTTCTTCATCATAATCATCATTAGAGCCCTTCACAAGTCCACTGCTTAACATAGGCCTACCCCAAGGAATGCCACAAAGCACGGTCCTGAATCCATCGACTTCCTGCATGTCTTACCAAGTCGTCACTCCATTTAGTGTTTTGGTCTTCAGAGAATGTAAATAAGCCCGTGAATGATACTTCAATTTTATTTGTAAGTATAGATTACTGTAGGTTGTCTGAAAATGTATCTGTGCAGAGTGCCTTTAGAAATGAGAAGAAGATGTGATCGTCGGCGCGAACGGCATATATTGTGCGTACTGGCCACAAACATTAGTTCGTGTGATCGTCATTTTATTTGTTTATTTTGTATGATAATATTTTCTTGGTGTACTATAAATAGTATTGTATTGTTGCATTCCATCGTCAAAGGCTGCCATCGCTGCGTTTTCTCTAGTGTCCTGGATTATCATACTCGGCGGTGGTCACTTACCATAGGTCGACTGCATGCCCGATTGTCTCTGTAGGTGACACATGGTAACCCAGGGCCTAAGCGCTGGCTGTAAATTTACCGCCGGTACCAATGAAATTTTTAATTGTTATTTTGAGTGCCGATTGACCAAGTGGATGAGTTCGTGTATTTGAAATGTGTATTTATCAGGGATGGTAGATATGATAAGGATATAGAACGACGAGTGGACGCAGGAAATAGAGTAAATGGGGCCATACACCCTATTGTGAAAGGCCAGAATATCTAAAAGACAGCTATGGTAATTCACAATGCTGTGTTGTTCCCTACTTTAACGTATGGTAGTGAAAGTTGGGTGTGGCAGAAGAAGCACGAAAGTAGAATGAACGCAGTAGAAATGCGGTCATTAAGGAGTATGTTAGGGCTGAGCCTGAGTGACAGGGTGAGAAATTGTGTGATAAGAGAAGAGTGTGACCAGGATTAAGAAAGGAATGTTTCGGTGGTTTGGTCATGTGGAAAGAATGAATGAGATAAGAGTGACGGAGCAAATTTATGTTGCAGAAGTGAATGGCAGAGTCGGAAAGGGACGTCCTAGGCGAAATTTTATCGACCAAATTGGCGATATATTGAAAATGGGCCAAATTAGGAGTACCCTTAACCGACCAGCATGTATGATTAGGTGTATGGATGTGGAGGAAGAAGTCTGCAGTCTCTGCCTACCCCTCTGTGTGACAGGCGTGAGTGTTTATTTAGTTATGTTATGTATTTATTTTTTGTCAAAAGACGTGACCTTTACTATAATGTTATTACAGACAGCCCTTCGGTTCACGATAACGAACAATTTGCCGTACAACGTGATTTTTATCAAGTTGGGTTTTCTTGCGGCGGAGTTCGACGACATCGTGGAGGACTACTCGGCCTATGATGCGAACATGGAAGACGCCTTTATGCATTTTGTCAAGGAGAATCGTTACTCGATCCGACCTAATGAGACTTGGTAGAAAACAAAACAAATAGACCCGTGGTCGGGTCCCATAGTAAATAATTGACGACTTAGAGTATTTTTAATGCAATCACTTAATTCTCTACAAACTACAAAAAAAAATCAATGTAATAGGAATATGAAATAAACTTTTTGTAACCTGCTAATTATTATTTTTTTAGTTATAAAACATAGAGTAATACTAAAATTTAATAAAAGATCAAAGAATATCCATTGATGGCGCTCAAAAAATACAAATTACTAATATATTATACTTAACCCTTTTTTTTTTTTGCGGATGGAAAATCATCTAATGACCCCTTTCGCTCTGGGTGGAGCGTAAGGGAGTGTCAGACTTTTACTGACTAAAAACCATCCGTGTTCCTTCAGTGCCCTTACGTTCCGGAGCCGCGGTATCTCTTTCGAACAGCCCGCAGCCCCGGCAGGCGTCGGCCCTTGCGGGCCCCTTCACGCTGCTGACAGCTCTTTGAGGCGCGCGTGGAACAAAACGCGCCGTCGACACGGCCTGTTGTCATTAGACGGACGGACGACGAGCTACCCATTGCTCGCCGTCCACAGGCCCGCGCCTACGGTGGCCGGGGGCCACGACGTAGCCCCCGACGCCCGGGGCGTCTCCCGCGGCGGCCAGGGAGGAAAGCTGCTGCTCTCTCCTTCTCCCGCTCCGCCACCTCCTTCGCCAGCATCACTGCTTCGCAGAAGGTGGTGACGGCATCCCATTCCGTCTCGCTCCGGACCATGGCTTCGACCAGGGCCGGACGCGAGAGGTCGCCGCCGCCTATCGCCGCTACGAGGACCCGGCGGTGCTCCGCCCAAGCAGGGCACACCTCCACGGTGTGTTCCACCGTGTCCTCCGGTCCATCGTCGCAGTGGGAGCACCCGGGCGTTTCCTCCCGCCCGATTCGGTGCAGGAACCTCCCAAACACACCGTGTCCGGTGAGGACCTGCGTCAGGCGGAAGGTGAGGATGCCGTGGCGTCTCTCAAGCCACTCCTCAAAGAGGGGTCTTATCGCCGCTATAGTGGCGTGCCCAGCACGGGGTTGCGACAGTCGCTGTCTCCATGTCGCCATGAGATCGTGCCGGAAGTCTGTCCGCTGCGCGACAACTTGCCGCGGCAGCGGGGTTTCCCCACGGCATAGTGCCTCCGCACGCCATTCGTGCAGGCGCGCGAGGACTATCGCCTCCAGATCCCATGGCGGCAATCCGGCAAGGAGGCTCGCCGCCTCGCGGGAGATCGTGCGGTAGCCGCGAACCATTTTCACGGCTATCACCCTTTGGGGCGCGTTCAGGTGGTGGACGGCAAGCCGCGCCAAACCACGCGCCCACACCGGGGCCCCGTAAAGGGCCATGGACCGAACGATCCCCGCGTAGAGCCTCCGGCAGGAGGCGTTTGGCCCTCCCAGGTTCGGCAGGAGCCGCCTGAAGGCAGCCCCGGTCCGTTCCAGTTTGGGAGCCAAACGTCGGAAGTGCTCAACGAAGTTCCATCGGCCGTCGAGGACGAGTCCTAGGTACTTCAGCGTCGACTCGACGTCGATGGATACCCCTTCTACCATCACTGAGGATCCCGGTGGTGGCCTGTTCCGAGGACCATGGAAGTGCATGCCCTCGGACTTGTGCAGAGCCACCTCGAGACCCAGTTGCCGAATCCTCTCAACGACTATCGCAACCCCGCGTGTCATATTTTCCGCGCCGCCTCGTGCGACCCCCTTTGTGCCAGTAACAGCGTGTCGTCAGCGTAGCAAACTACGCTGACGCCGGTAGGGAGGTCGGCGCGCAGCACCCAGTCGTAACCGATGTTCCACAGAGGTGGCCCCAGAATCGAACCCTGTGGGACACCGCACGACATCTCTCGCCGGTTCCACTCACCGTTGCGACCGGGGTAGATAACGGCCCTGTCCGTCAGGTAGTCCCCGACTATACGACGGAGATAGGTCGGCACCGGGGGATACCGGAGTGCCTCCCTAATGGAGCTCCAGGGCATGGAGTTGAAGGCGTTGGCGATGTCGAGAGACACCGCCAAGACAACCCCCCCTCTGGCCACTGCATCCCCCGTCGTGAGGGCTCTCACGCGCATGATGGCGTCCCCCGTAGAGCGCCTCTTGCGGAAACCAAACTGGTGTTCCGCAAGATCCGGCCCCGTCCCCGCAAGGTGCTCGGCGAGGCGGTTTGCAATGACTCTTTCAAAGAGCTTGCCCACCTCGTCGAGCAGCACCACGGGCCGGTATGCGGACGGAGAGTCCGCAGGGCGCCCCGGCTTCCGAATGAGGACCAGCTTCCCCGTCTTCCAACGAAGCGGGAATTGGCCTCTCTCCAAGCATGCGCTTAGGAGCCCCTCCAGTCGGGGCCCGAGAGCCTCCGAGGCCAGGACCCAGGCTTTGCCAGGCAAGCCATCGGGTCCTGGGGCGGTATTCCTGGCCTTGAGCCTACGTACCGCCACTCTCAGGTCTACCCCGGTCCCTTCCGGGATGTCGTCGTCGTCGTCCTGGTGGTCCGCTTCCGGCACCGCAGGTGGCGGAGCCATAGGCGGGGGTGGATGTTCCCGTCGCGCAGGGAACAGAGCGCTCACCACGTCCTCCACGAGCTGGGGCCGGAGACTTTGCGTCAGCGGGGGGGCCCAGGTGCGGAGTTTATCCCGCACCATCTTGTAAGGGCGCCCCCACGGAGCTCTGTTGAGAGTCACCAGCATCTCCTCACGGGCCCGATCCCGGGCCCGCAGGACAGCCTCCCGGAGGGCGTTCTTCGCCGCTCTGTATCCCTCGTACAGCTCCGCCTCAACGGCTGCCGCATTCGGTGGACGAATGCGGAGCCTGCGATGCCTGGTGTACAGGTGCCGCGCGGCGACACACGCCTCGCGCAGAGACGTCAGCTCACGCGACCACCAATACACCTGACGCCGGGCGCTTCCTGGCCGGACGCGGGGCATTGCCACGTCACATATCTCGGACATGGCCTCCTGGAACCACCCTGCCTCATCATTGACGTCGGCAGGCCTGTCCGGTGATGACACCCAGGCCTGCACGATCGAGGCTTCCAGGAGGAGCTCCCGGTCCAGCTGCTTCAGCGCCCAACGCGGACCACTCGGGGCCTGTTGGACTGGCGCGCTCGAGGGCTGGGTGGAGACATCAAACCGGATGTACCGGTGGTCGGAGTAGGTCTCCACCCCCTCCATGACACGCCAGTCAATGGCACGCGGCGACAGAGCGGGGCTAGCGAACGAGATGTCCACCACCGACTCGCCCCGCATCCGCACACACGTGGGGACAGAACCCCGATTTAGGACGACCAGGCCTGTCTCCAGAGCCCAGTCTTCCACCATCCTACCCGGCACATCTGTACGACGAGAACCCCAAGCCAAGTTCTTGGCATTGAAGTCCCCGAGGACAAGTACGGGGAGGGGATAACTTCCGACGACGACTGCTCTCAGCTCTGCAAGAGAGTTGTGGAGCTCGGCGAGAGATCGGTTCGGGGGAGAAGTACACCCCCACAACGACGAACTCCCCGAACCGTGCTGCTACGCACCCCTGACCCCTCCTGACACCTTCAAGGGTCGGATTATACTTAACCCTAAGAGTTTGCTTTTTTGCTAAATGTATATAATGAAGTAATATGGTGCTGTTTATTCGAAGTGGCGTGTGGTGGCGGATGCGCCACCCTATTTCACCCCATCGGTGTTGTAAGAGGGGACTATGGAAAACGCAACAGTAATGTAATGACTTCCTACTGTAACGTCCCTCCCCCTTTATAAAGCCGTCAGTCAAAAGTTTAATGGAGCACAAAGAAAGGTTTAATTTCTCCTATTGTAATTTTCGAACGGCATATTATATTGTGCGTACTGGCCACAAACATTAGTAAAAAAAAGCCTTATCAAAAAGACCTAGTAATTTATTTTTGCGTTTAGTTAAAGATATCTGGGGTATTTGTATTGTTTTCTCATCTAGTTGGGCTGCGAAAATATATAATTTAAAATGATAAATATAACTATGCATAAAGTAAAATAAAAAATACATAAATAATAACCCAACCAGATGAAAGTACTCGGCAGGGGAAGCACAACGGCCGAGGAGAAAAACCGGCGGACGATATCGAAGAGTACCGCCTTCTGCATTTGAGCCCGGAGCGGTTCCTCACGGAGTCCTAGTCGCATCAGATGACACGACAGTCTGACCAGTGATAGTTCACGCTATTGTTACGTGTCTTTAATTTAATGGATTTCCGCAAAGTAGGTAAAGCCTATGTTTCCAAATGGGCCACTTCTATGTACATTACCTCAAAAAAAAAGAGAAAAATCTGTAGAATTCGGTAAAATACAGATAATTCATTTAAATCTATCCTATCGTGGTAAACAATAATTGATGTTAGTCAATTATTTTTATCGACTTTCAACATGGCTTCTCACCGATTTAGTTACTCTGTGATTAAAGACAATGACAGTAAGACTTAAAGCGATTATTGATCATAGAAAAAGAACTGTTGGTTTTCACAAGTGTCAAAAATCTTTAAGCAATTACATACATGCATAGAGACGCAGACAGAGAAACCTATAGACTAATGATTAGCGTGACCTCGAGTGAGAAAGGACGATAACGTAGTTTTAGGTTATACAATAATCTTTATGACTTTTAAACATATTTAGATAAAAATTTTAATTGTTCTAAGAACTGAACTGAACAAGATTCCCAATCTTAAGCTCACAAAACACTTTTTTCTCACTAGTAAACGAACTTGTAAACTCCTTAGATTGCTACGAACTGTCAAAGTTGTTTAGCAAAGTGCAGTTTGCTAAACAAAAAAACCGGCATGGAGAAAGGGACAAACACTCACACTGCTCTGTCTCATTTCTATACAAGACGTATGCATAAATCTATCTTTTTCGTGTGCGAATGCGAAAGAAGGCGTCAATTTTTCTGTAGGTTTCTCTGTCTACGCATAGAGAGAACCTACAATTCTACATAAATTGAGTCAATATACTTGTCTTGCTTTTTCTAATTTAATTTTCAAATA